TCTTGTACGCAGAGAATATCTTCAGTGGCGGCTGTACTCTTCACAGATAGCTTTGCATACGTCAATTCTATGTTCAAAACATAATTTTTGACAATGTCGTCGAGGCAATATGGTCGAGCATTCTTTTCTACCTCAAGTATATGCTGAACGCCATGCTGCAAGGCATACCTCGACGTCTGTTTCAATCCTGACCTCGGGATCCCCTTACGTTTCAAACTATCTAGTTCATCGGTGCAAACCTTTGCAATGACGCGTTGACATTCTCTTTCGTTCACTGTGAACTTCTTCTGCCTTGAAGTAGACTTTTCAATCAACCAGTCTTTGACCGACTTGTGAAAGAAGTTAATGCACTCGCCCTCGATAGGTAGAAGAGCCGATATACAATCTATTGCGTCGCGTACTTTTTGCTCATCAGCGGATGACCATTCTTTGGAAAGAAACAACTTACAAGCAAAATCCATTGGCAATGGTTCTCTTGCTGCCACAAGGGCATTTAAGAAATCATAGAATTGGACTTCGGTAATGCCCACTTCTTTCTGTAGCTCAGTTTTCAGGCGCTTGAAATAGTTTTGGTAAACTGACGATATATCTGATGGCAAGCGGCTTTTGATCAGTTCATCAACACTCATACGAAGAGCATTCTTGTCAATGAATTCTATTAAGTAGTAGGTAAATAACATGACTCCTTCTGACTTTTCAACAAGCTTCTCTAAAATGGTATCTTGGCGATCGGATTGCAGAACATGTTTCAGCTGTTCTTTAAAGCAAAGTCTGATGTCCATCAAGTTTTCTTGATCATTAGGTTTCAGTAGTAAGGGATTTAATTCTTGAAGCTTCTCCGAGATGTTCACTTCAGGTCGCGTTGTTACGACAAGTCGAATCCAATGCGGAAGCGTCTTAAAGTAATTGGCAATCACATTCAAAAGCTCATTACGTCCTTGGTATTCGCTTTCGTCTAAGCCATCTATTATCATGAGATGGATCGAGCCTGGGTCTTCTACATCTAAAAGAGGCTCTCCAAACAACTATTCAAACAGTTCTTCCACCTCCATGTCGTTAATCCCCACGCCCAGATTTCCTGAAAGATTTTTCACGAGAGCTTTCTCGTATTCTGGTAGTGAATCTGAAAGCTGACGGGCTAAGGACTGCAACAGCACTTTCGGATTTCTTCGGCGCGCCTTGTTATGCCGACAAAAGTGGCTCCCTGACAATCTTCCAGCTTTTGACATCTTTTGACAAAAGACAGCCGAGATTACCGACTTTCCCATCCCCGCATTTCCAGTGATAACAATCACTCGATTTGGAGAACTCCTGTCTTCTAACCACCTCTCGACTTCTGCAAAGACCGACAAACGAGTTCCCTCCACATATTTACCTGCGTGATCACTTATATCACTTGAAGGGTCAACCTTTGCAAGTTTCCTAAGAATTTCATCTCTTCTAAACCCTTCTCTTTCCCCTTTCAAGCCTTCTACAGTTTGCAGCACTTTAGCCTGCATGTCCCGCATGTCTTTCAGCTGAGATTTTATGTCTTCCTCCGTATCTGCCCACTCAAGCAATACATCAATGAACTCTTGCTCTCCACTGTGCTCAGCCTGTAATCTATCGATTTCTGCCTGCTGCAAGCCAAGAGCAACAAGAACAGCACTTATCTCCTGCCAGAGAGTTGAGAAAGTTGGATCAGCAACACCAGTTGTGGAAACATGGCCATACAACTGATTGCGGTAAAACTTTATACGAGCAAGATTTGCTTCAAGAGAGCTGTCACTGGGAGGTGGATTAGAATGCCAACCAGAGTGGGGTGGGGAGAGACCACAGATGTTGGTTAAGAGAAGGAATAAAAGAGTGATATCAAATGTTTGGGAGTCCGGAGGAGTACCACTTGGAGGAAACAATAGATCCCATTGAGGTCTATGAAGGATCCTTCTTCTCAAGAGATTGTTGAGAGTTGAATAGTTTGCATTAAACGCGGCCGAAAGACTTGCTGGGGGATGATGTATCTTAAAAATGCTCCTTATAACTGCTGTTCCACCATCGATGAGAAGTCGGCTGAGCTTTCCTCCATTCGTCTTCTCCACAGAGCTGGCTAGACGTAAGGGAGCAGCTGATGCCATTTGGTCCAAAATACAAAGATTTAGTCAACAGGCGTAGCTGCATGTTTTGTGAAAGAAACATATGACAAATATGTTATTGCTTTTCTCTTAGACTCGTACCGGAAAGAGGAGCAAGACCCTTTTATGGAAATTTCTACCCTGCTAGTTAGCTTACTAACTCCTCTAACGCCATTTAAAGCAACCTTACATCTTTTGAGTATTAGGAATTCTTTACGCGGTCTTAAGGAATAACCTACCTATATATGTATATATAGAAATGAATTGAACGAAAGCATTATTTATCACCAAAACTGCTGTATTAAGACGTGAAAAATTTTATGAGCATTTCACCCCCTTCACAAAGAGATTATTCCTGTATTTCCATATCCGCTCCTCCTGATACCTTCACTACAATGGATTCTATTCAGTTACAGTTCAGTGGTTACCTGAGCTCCCTTATGAATCACTTAAAATCCTTTGGCAGGCACATTTTGGTGATGTCACGCTGGCATTCCAAAAGCTTATGGGTCACACAAACGACACAGCTGAGTAACTGAAGAATGTGAGTACGTGGGATCAGAGAATCCTGAGAACAACAAATTAAAAAATAACCTATAAGATAACTTACTACTGAAGGTCAAAAGCATGGTCAGTACAAGGAAGGGGAGACCAGCCTATACAATGTACACTTGTCAAAAAAAACAAGGGTCTCTAATGCCTGCAGCTATCATCTCATGGGAGGATAAAAGTTATATTTTATAGCAAGCTTGCAAACACACAAACCATAACTACAGTAAGTACAGTAAGAATACATTAATTTGGCATCCACAGTGAGGTTGGAACACATGAATTCAATACCAAGGAAGAAGTAATAGACAAAATAACCTTACTAAGAGCTAAATAAACCTAAAATGTGTATGGCACTGAGATCAATACTAATTTCACCATCAACTCACAATTGATTGTTTATCAATATTAAAAAAAGTTGTTCACCAATTGCATTATTGCAACCTGGCAAAGGCAAAACATTCTTTATACCAGATACTTTGTGGAACAACCCTGTCTTCATCATCACACCATCAGAATTAGCAATGAAAATAGCCACACCTTCCCACACTTTATGTTTAATAAGCATTTCTAAAATCTGCATCCATTAAACCAAACCAAAATTAACAGAAGCATGTGACTGACAATTCAATCTTTTTGCCCAATTAACAAATGGTAAACACCACAGCGTACACTATTGAGTTATGGATGCACGCAGGAGGTTGCTAAGCACGAAAAAAGCGTAAGAGTCGCTCGAGGCGATAGCCGAGAGCGACTCTAACTTCTTGAGTGCTTAGCAAACCTCCCAAGTGCATCCATAACTGCATTCTTTTCTACCTCAAGTATATGCTGAACGCCATGCTGCAAGGCATACCTCGACGTCTGTTTCAATCCTGACCTCGGGATCCCCTTACGTTTCAAACTATCTAGTTCATCGGTGCAAACCTTTGCAATGAC